TAATGTTAATTCCTCCCAGAATGTGTCTTTTATTTCTGCTTTTTCATCTTCATCTGGCCCATATACACATATCACAGTCATTTGTTTTCCATCTCTTTTCTTTATCTCCACTGATAAAATTCTCTCCGTATGTGCTTCCCATTTACTCACACTTTGTATTAATTTTTGATGAATTATGCATCCGACACCTGCTGCTGCCCTTTTATTATTTTCTACTCCACTATATATTAACAAGTGACCATTTTCTAATTCCATCACCCCTTTATTCTTTTTCTTTGTTTCTGACACTGCTAAAATATCCAGTCCTGCATTTTGAAACTCTTGCATCAGTTCATTTTCCTTTCCATTAATGCTCCTTATATTCCACGTTCCTATTTTCCATATTTCTTTTGTTTGTCCCTTTTCAGAGTTCTTTCCTTTTCCTTGCCTGTTCGTCAACTTATTTACCGTTTTGTCAGTATTCTGATCAGTATCCTTTCCTAGTTTTTTGGATTCACTAACTCTAGTGTTTCTCTCGCCTTATTCCATCTCCACTCCTCTCCATCAATTATAATCTTACTATACCCAATTTTAACGTTCTTTCCTTTTTTCTTCTCTTCTATTGCCCTCTTTCTTATTTGCTTCTCTTTTTCCTGCTCTTTCTTGGTCATATCTTCATTGATGTAAATTCTCTTGCATTTATTCCTCAGTTTATATTTACTTTTCATTACTTTATCTTTGTCCTTAAATTTTTCGAATTCTATTAAATATGTTTCCTGTCCCAATTTTTGAACGTTTTCTATCTGTGTTTCAACCTCAATTTCTTTCACTAAAAACTCTTCCATATCTTTCTTAAGTGTTTCTCTGTTTTCAGTTTGCATTTTTAATCCTGTCAAAACAATATTATTTTTCCTTTTTTCCTTTTCTAGCCATTCTATTTTATTTTCTATTATTTCCATTTTATCTCTTATTTCCTTATTTTCTTCTTTTAATTTTGCATTTTCATGTCTTAATATTCTATTTTCCTCTCTGATCTCCTTTATTACATCTTTAATTTCTGTTTGTTCTTGATTTATTTTCCCCTGCTCCACTTTCAACTCCTTTACCATTTCAATTAATAGATCAAGTTTTTCGTCCGATTTTTCCCCGATTTTTTTTTGTTTTGCCGGTGATCTCATTACTTTTCTGCTGCTAGTGAAAATATCTTCTTCTCTAATTCTTTTCTTTTTTCCTTCATCCGCACTGCTGAAGTCTTCACTCTCCATGTTTTTATTTATTTATCTATTTATTACCGGATATCGTAAAGAGCTGTCTCACCTCAACGGTTCGGAAGAACTTCGCTCTTACTTATCTTAAATTCTCCGTCGTTTTTTACACTCTGGCAACACCGCGCCGAACTCTAACGCTGTTCTCTTCCGTGTCAGCTGTTTTCTACCCGTGCTAACCTAATACCGCTTCAATACTTATCTTATTTTGTTCTTTCCTGTTGCTTTATTACTTTTCACTTTGCACCTTCGCTAAGTTTGCACTTTATTCACACTTTAGTAGTAATTCTGTATATTATTTGTCACTATATTTCTCGTAAACGGGGTTAATATAGGATATAGGTGAACAAATAATCACAAGTTTTCACTCCTAAGCTGAGTTGCCAAGCAATTACAAGAAAGAAAAAACCTTATTTTCTTTTTTTAGTGGTATCTCGCTTATTGTTAGAGATAAACCCAATAAACCCTATATATGACTATGCTCGACAGAAAACGTTCTTTTCTTTTTTTAATAGTATCTCGCTTATTGTTGGAAATGGACCTAACACACCCTATATGACTATGCTCGATAGAGAAGGTTCTATCCAAATATGTAAAAATATACAAGGTGTTCTATTTAAATTAACAAAGTTTTTCTACTATCATTTTCAAAAAATTCATAAAAAATCGTGCAACTTTTGTATTTCACATTTCTAATAACTCTAAAAACAAAAAAGTTAATGGGGGGGTCAAAATATAGTGAATCACACTGTACAAAGTATTGAATAAAAAAATTAAATATAATTGGGCAGTTTAATTTTAAATACTATTGAAATATAGAGAAAATGTGTTCAATATTATATTTTTTATAGTGAAAGTCCATTCTTCAATTACATTAAAGTTTGGTATTTCTGGCGCTATTGATTTTTCAATAGACAACATTACTGTTAGTCTGTCTTTACAATCAATTTAAACTTCTCTAATATCTAAAAAAACACACAAGAAGCAATAGGTAAGTAACAAAATTTTACATCACACATGAAGAAATTACGTTTAATAAGAAAAAAGCCGTGAGTAGCTACTATTTGGCTAAGGTTGGACTAAACAGAGCATAGTAAATATGCGCTACTCCCACTCCGTCTTACACTGCTGCGCGACGGTAACCATGACCACCGCTGTAAACACTTTACAGATGTAGGAGCGAACTACATGGAGCCCACGTATTCAGAGTACGAATTTTGCAAGTCGAGTTAAATTAACTGCATATTATAAGTTTAACATTTCCTTTTTCATGTTCCATAATCTATTTAATTATCCAGTTAACATTGCAAACTAAATATTAAATTAATTTTATTTACTATGAAAATTTCTAGGGGGGGCGCCGCCCAGAGCCCCCTCGCACCAGGCGCCACTGATGGAGTATCCTTCGAATGAAAGAGCGAATGATTTACTGAGCTTGAACAGAATCCGGCTCAGGAGAGTGACAGGACTCATAACGGGACACTGTCACTTTAGGAAACATCTACATAAGCTAAAGCTTGTAGACAGTCCGGTCTGCCGAGGATGTGAATCGGCGGATGAAACTTCTCTGCATATCCTGGGCGAGTGCCCGGGATTTGCACGTAGCAGAATGGCACTCCTTGGGAGACCCTACTTGGAACCCAAGGAACTGAGAGAAGTGTCAGCAAGGAAGCTTTTGGACTTTGTAAAAAGGACAAATCTACTTGCCGAATAGGACTAGTAGTGGGACGTACAATAGGCCTAATCAGGCCGCAGTGCTATGGGACTTATTAGGACCAACCACTAGAAGTAGAAGAAAAAGAAGAAGAAGGCGCCACTGATAGTTTCACATTTACTAATATTATACATTTATTCTGTAGTTATCGGAAATGTGTAAAACCGCGACATTTTTAAACTTACATAAAAATGAGACATTTTCCTCAAATGGTGTTTGGAAATTATAAACGTCTTTCTAACGCGTGTGTGTTTACTGCAATGATTATTTTAAAAAGAAAAACAAAAATAACTTTTCCGCCTTAACGTTATGGCATTGATACTTGTAAAGATTTTTGTACATGCTACAAACCCCCAGCCATTTCGTGGCAACTAAAATTTATAATCTTATAAAAGGCGCAGATGCATTAGAACCGAGCCTAACATAAAATCCTAACGTACTGCCATTTAACAACCTATAAATAAGGATAAATATTAAAAGTTGCACATTACCTGGTTGAGAGGGACGTCGTGGCCGACCATGCATCGCAAGCAATAAATTAGCGCCGACAAAGTTATGGCTTTGGGTGCATTGCAGTTGCCCCAGACTTCCGGTCCACTGCCGCTAGAAATACAGATAATAGATGATGGATGATCGATATACCTCTAATTTATTTTCATTAGAAAAGTTTAGGACTGCTTACTGCACATTTCAAAAGACAATTCGACGTGAAAAAATGTACTAAAAGTGGGGTGCTGTAAATCAAAATTTTATGGGTAAATAGTCATTCCCGGATGGTACTAAAAATTGTGGAATATAAAAGCTTACTATTACAAAGACCTTCTAAACCGATAAACTGAAAACTAAAGTAAATGTAATAAAATGAAGTTTGTTTTTTGACACATCATATCAGATGTAAAGCCATCTTGTGTATTCCAATCATGTAAACAATGATCAAGCACGTGAAGCTGCGTAACTATTGGTCAAAACGGACTGAACGTCAATCGCTTTCACACAGCACGGGAAAAAACATTGTATAATAGTTTTCATTTCGTAGGTACCATCTATTTCATAATTTTGTTAGCTTTATGTTTTTTAGATTAATTTAAGATGTATAACAAAGAAGTTTAAAAGTATTTTAACTTTCCTAAATGCGCCGCTGTCTCCTTTTATGATTAAGTCATGGCTGCATGCAATTATTTACTTCGTTGGAATATGTAAAGTGACTAGTATTGTTCATGTCAGAGATCAGAGATTCACAAACTAAATACGGTGTTCCATAAAAATAATAGCAAGTATTTTTTATTGACTTGAAACTTGAAATTATTCAGCTCAAATCTATCAGATTAGTAAGTGTATTTATTTATCTTTCATTATGGACATTATACAAAACAGCTAAAAAAGTAATTTTGAAACATAAATTAGTTTACCTACAATGTGATGTATCCATGTAACAATATTTAATAAATCATGCAAAAATTGTTATTTAAAAAGCAACCTAAAAAATTATTTTAATGTTCGGCGCTTCGTCCACGTTGATATTAAATATGGTGACTTTAAAATAACACGTCGGAAAGTGAGACAAAAGCAATGCCACGTTAATTTCATATAATTTGAAAAGGTAATAAACATTTGGCAACACTGATAAACGCGTTGATATAACTGCGATCAAGTGTACACAAGAGTTTAAGTGCAGTTTAAAAATTGAATTAAAACTACTAATTATGTTATTTAAAAGAAATAATTTTACCAAGTCAAGGTTTTAGTGGGATAAATATCAATAAGAAAAGAACACTATGTTTTAAATCATTGCCAACGTTTCGGTGTTACTTTACACCATCATCAGGCTTTAAAACACATTTTTTTTAAATTTGTTAACATCTTAAAATAATTTTAAAAAACAAATACATTTACAATTCTAAATTATTGTTCCTGTAACAATTACCATAAATCCGGTATTTTGGACAAAAGACACTTCAAATTTCGGTGAGTGAGTAATACATAGGTTATCAATTTTAGAGCTGTTCTAGAATTTTTCTTTTTATGGCTTATGGTAATTGTGATAGGAACAATAATTTAGAAATATTGTAAATGTATTTGTTTTTTAAATTATTTTAATTGTTAACGAATTTAAAGAAAACATTGTTTGTGTTTTAGAGCCCTTAGGATGGTCTAAAATAACACCGAAACCTTGGCAATGATTTAAAATATAGTGTTCTTTTACTTATTGATCTTTATCCCACTAAAATCTTGACTTGGATAACTAATCAAGATCGCTAAATAGTGGAAACGAAATAATTTAAGTCTAATATCCGGGACAACACATATTATTGGCTCTATCTTGTAAAGGTATTGTTTTGTAATTTATAAAAGGAAAATAAGTCGCAAATAAAAATATAAACGTATTTAGTTACATAAATAAAGATATTTTCTTTTGAATCTTACTTTTTGTGTATTATTTATCTTATCAGCATTGGCTGAAAATCCAGCCAATACGAATATTCAAACATTCACATAAACAAGAAAAGAATTTTCCTGTACAGTACCGGTTTATGATATTCTTAAGGACTAAAAGTTGACATTTTTAAACTTCTGCATCACTTCTGCTTAAAACATTCTTAACTGCTAACTACTCAACAAGAAAGACGTAACATTGGGAATTAATGAACAAAAAAAATAGATCGTCTAGTTTGGATAGCCCTTTAATATATTGCCGGGTTCAAATAAATCACCCTGTATCTATTTTAACGACCATTTTTATTTCTTTTTTAACTTTAACCCAATCTGTAGTTAAATGTAATTTAAAAATATGATATCTTATTTTATGATTTCTTCCTATTTATTATTTTTTCTACTTTACTGATTTTTCTTTGTTCATCTAGTTCATATCAAAAGCGACTTCTATTATTATAAATGAGTATTGTAATGTTTTTTCCAAAGGTATTCTTCCAAAGGTATTCAAAGAGAGTCACGATAGCTTCTGAAGAAACTAACACCGTTCAAGAAAACCTATATTCTACCAATGTAAGTTTGTAACTGGTTCAATGTGTGCATCAGGAGACACTTACCTAAAATCGCAGTAAGCAGAGCCCTCCCTTTCATTCAAAGTAATCTTCAGACTGATAGGTGATCCGTCATCCATATACTCCACTCCTCCCAAAACTGACTTTCCTGTCCTTTCCATAGCGTCCTTCGCTACCTTTCTAAGCATATCCCTCACCGCGATTTCAGCGTTGCTCTGGATGTGCCCCATATATGCCTGCACCACTTCTAGACCGTAGTGATCGATGAGTTCGCAGACCAGGTCGATACCCTTTTTGTTTGCCGCCACCTGGAGCCAAAGCGTAAATGATCAGTTATTGAATTAAAAGATATATAAGGGATGGTATGCTTGCTGATTAGCAGACTGCAAATGCCATTTTTAACATAATATTACGTTTGTCATCGTTTGAACATTTTTCTTTTTTAATAGATTTTTCGTCAAATATTTAAAATGTTTGCTTAGAATAGGTTTTAGTATTTTGTGAATCCACTGTGTCAATTACTTTAGCTAAGTCTTAATAAAAGTCATAATAATTTTTTAGGCAAAGAATTCGGTTGTTGCCAAAAGAGAGAATATTTTTTAAAAATTACATTCCAGACGATATAATAGACTTCTAGTGTGACTGAAAGGAAACCAAACTATCTTTATTGTGACTAGTACAAATATGAAACATTTCTAAAATTGATTTTCGACAGATAAAAAAACCTGCATTTAGTGTAGATTTGATATCAAATTTGATTCAATACGTCAAGGAAATTTTTCATAATCCAAAAAGATCTTCATCAGTATGAAACGAATGAACAAAAATTATTTAATGTATGTTTTTCAGGTGTACGATTAGAATATTTTTTTTATACGTGCTGGCCTTCTAGGTGTACTCGTTAAATCAATTATGATGATGCAGTTGGTGTAATTTTTTTAGAGACATTCTTGGGAACATTACCTACCTACTTTAGGGAATGAAAAATCTTGAAAATGAAAACTTTTGATTACTGAAACTGAAAATTATAATTGGAAAATAGTAGTCTATTTAAAGTCTAAATTTGTAAAAATAGGTCCTGCTTAAAATTCTAAAACAATTTATATGCATAGGACTCTATTATTTATGAGTCCCTATCAGCAGGATTGGTTAATTTTTCATCTTCAGTCATTTCCAAAGTGTCCAACATTTTTAAATTGAAAGGAAATATATTAAATTTAAATTTACTAAGGAGGTATGACGCATAAACCATACTTTTACGGATGAGATGGTATCCCGCAATTTTTTTTGCTAAAACTCTGCAATTTTTCCCAACATACAATTTTCTCGATAATACTTTCTAGTATTTAACTTGAACTAGATGCTACCTAACTTTAGCCTCCATTTAATGGAACACCCTGCAATTTCAGATTCTTTGTTCATTTTTCCTGACTTTATGTAATATATATGGTGTCCGCAAAGGACCCCGCACAAAATGAATGGAAATTGGGTCCCGCTAGATTTGGCTGGAATTTTGATAGGTATGTTATAGTTCTCGACATTCTGATCAAAAGTTGACACAGGCCCAAAGTGATACTATGGATAGTTTTAGAGATATAGAGGGGGAAAGTGTGTGATATTGGCTATGGGCCTAAGTAACTGTCGATTCTGACTCTCGAAGTAATGTGTACAGATGTATAATGACTGTCAGTCAATGATTCAAATGAGTCCTGGGTTGACATCCTGGGCTGGACATGTAAATAATGCCATTTTTCTCAAAAATGGCTTTCTGTTGGCGATTTTCTCAGGAGACAATTTTTTTTTAATGAAAGGACCTTTTCCCTGTTGCTGCCCGTTTTAAAAAAAATACGACCACTGTAAAAGCTTTGACCGCTAAAAGGGAGAGGTAACCGGAGAAAACTATCACCCAGTATATCGATTTGGCTAAATCTTTAAGAAATAATATGCCATAATGGTCCAAATAAATGTGCCAAATTTTCACATGATCGGTAAAAGGGTTATAAAGTTATTAATTAAATTAGTTTTATTTTTGACAACTTTCAAGGCTTGCAACTCAAAAACCAAAAAATTTGTATTGAACTTTTTTCCGTAGATCGTATTTATTTATCGTCGTGAATATGCAGTCAAAGGTTGTCGGTGAAATTTGCGGACAGACTGTATTTACCCCTTGTTAAATGTTCTGTTTTTAAGTTAAATTATTGTTGAAAAATATCTAGACTGCTTCAATTCTCTTAAATTAAAACAATTATTATTAAATGAAAAAATATAGACCTGCGGTATTTTATTGCTTGTTTAGCTATACTATTTTTTTTTTTTTTTTCAAATGGTACCACTAATATTTTTACCACTGTTGATATTTATCTGCAACAAATGGCTAATGTTTGAAGCGGCAAGAAAACCTTAACCTCCAATAAAATGAAATAACTATTTACAGTTGCATTCTTATTTTACTTTTAAATTCAATGATTTGCTAAGATAATATTCTGAGAAGTTTTAGAATGACATTGTTACCTATTTAACATTTTAATTCTAATGATGTAAATACGACTTTATGTTTTCCATTGATCTATAATACCTATATGAAAAATATTCGTCATAAAACGTCCTTAACTTCGAACGAAAAAAAGGTGCTCACTAGGATACAAAAAAGCCCTTTACAGAACTACTGTATAAACTCCAGCCCATCTCGTCCAATGTGTTCACACATTAGATCGATCCCTTTCTGTTTGCTGACACCTGTAGGAAAAAGTAAGGCAAAAAAGGTTCTGTTCTTTCTGAATTATTGCAGAGACGCCGGAAATAATGCGCTATCTGTGCAAGACAAATGCCACTTTCTGGTCTCAATGCTAAAATGAAAATTAAGATAAATTTCTATCTCCCGAATCTAACGGCTGAAATGATAAGGGACTGAGGCTTAATGAAATATATTCTATCATCTAATTTTTCAGATGTTTCAAATGTTCATTCGTGGGTTCACGAACCATACTGATACGATTAAAAATGTATTTTACGGTTTATTAGTAACAGTCGTCGAGACAGGAAGGTGTTTTCTATAGAAATATTTCTTTGCGGGATATGCTTGAAGGGGGTATTTATGAATTTTATATTTACATTTTATGTATGAGAACGAATTAGACAAAAACGGAAATGATTTTATTTCAAATATTTATTGGGTTAAAAGTCCAATATTTGGAGAAACTTTGTTTTTTAAGAATAAGTAAAATAACTATGTACAACAAAGTGATGTGAACAGAAAACACTGATACACTTTTAAATAGGTTTAACAATACTTAAAACGACCTCATGAAATTATCCGTGTTTCCACGATGGTGAGGCGCACAACTGAATTTTTAAACATCACATGAAAGCTTCAATAGAACTGGTGCTTGCCTATTATTATACACTCTGATTGCACGATTTTAGTTAAAAGATCTATCAGTAAGAACATCGGAATCACTATTAATTTTTAATAATGCGTAGGTACATCTATTTAATTAATTTAATTAATACAATTAACAGTAAAAATTATAAGCATCTCATAACTCCTCAATGGGGTAGACTATGTTAGTAGTGACAATGACACTATTTGTTTGAGGCCAATCATTTAGCTGGTTATTTGCGCAAAATTGTTTTTGATATTGCGAAATTTGTTTTGAACTTCTTCTACTAAGATTCTGCCATGACTTCCAACCGCCATACCACTTCAACTTTAAAATATATGCTCCAACATCTACAGGAATGGTTGCAGTTGACCGTCTGTAACTATGATCCAGATACTCTTGTGGATTGGCAACCCAAGATATTTAACAGTTTAAAAAAAATTATTAATATCTATAGACAGAACACTTTCAATTACGATAGTTAGCAAACGGTCGAACATGTGTTGTTTGCTGGTGACTCGAGAGCAGCGTATTTTTTATAAATTTCAACCCTGTTTTTCAAGTATTTTGTTCCGCTGTCAACAATAAAAGTTCAAGGTTTGTTGGTTTTTAACACTGACATTTTCGCTATCAACACGCTGCCAATATGCACCTACAATGTCAAAAATTACTAGAACGTAAAATTGGAGAGTATCTGCAATTGGTAACTCCAGTATGTTCAAAGGAATTATTGCATAAAAAATTGTATATTTCATCAATGCTTTTGATTTTTTGATGTATCCACAATCAGTCGCTTCATATAGGGGGTTATTTTAGCAAATTGTTTATGATCAATGTCTTTTTCAACTTTCAGTAAAGCTTTCACAATGGAATATTTCAATTTCCGTAAGATTCTTTACTTTCTTGTAAACACACCAATCGTTTAAGTGTTTGTACACAAAATTATATCGGTTTTGGATATTAGCTGATGTTTTCACGTGTGCGATCTATGAAACTTCTGGGGAGATATTTTGAAACTCATCTAGGTATATCAAACATTATTAACTTGATACTTAACTCAAACTTTTAAGAACCAAAACGACTGCAATTACAACAGTTCATTTACAATCCTCCCTTTAAAGTTTTTAATAATAATATATGAGTTCCAACATTGCATTAGAAAAACACTAAGCGTAGAAGCGACATTTGAAGCAAGAATTTTGATAGAAATCACAGGAATTCAAAATTTTAATTTTTTATTGATTCATAAAGTATATTGGGTTTATGTATAGAATATCATATCGGGTAAATGACATCTACGTCTTTGATATCAAATAATAATATCGAAATTTTTCAAGGTCGTTTTGCACAAACGCAGTTGAATTTCGTTAACACAATGCTCAATTTCCTCCTTCAAGGTGTGGGTAGTCGTGGGTTTGTTGGCATAAACCTTAGACTCAAAACACCCCAAAGAAAAATGTCCAACGGCGTTAAATCACATAATATGAGCGGCTACCAAAACGGGAAATTACACGACCAGGAAATGACTCATGCAGCAATTGAATTGTTTCTGGGCTGTATGGCATGTGGCAGTGTCTTGTTGAAACCACATATAGTCTACACCAGGGATGCACAGACTTATAGGGAACAACAGGGGCCACTCGGGAAAAATATAAGCCAAGGACGGGCCACTACAAACAATATTTATTAACACAAAATTTTTTATTTTTAAATAGTATGAAATACAATGATAAAAATAAAATAACCTTCAAAAATGTTTGTTGTAATAATTATGTAATCATTACAATGTAATATTTCATGTTTTATTATTTTGATGCATGACATTGCATTGAACTAACAAGTTTTTTTATATTTGGCTCCACATTACTTGTAGCCACACGTATAATTGCTTCCAAATTTTCATTTGCCAGACGGTTTCGGTTTTTCGTTTTGTTAAGTTTCATCACTGAAAACGTTTGTTCACAAATATACGTCGATCCAAATAAGCTTGCGCATTTCAATGCATTTATTCGCAACTCTTTATAAGCGTTTTTATCAACGCAACGGTAGAAGTTGAGTAAATTACCTTCATTAAATTTGTTTCTTAAATTATCATCATTTTGCATGTCTATTAATTCCAGCTGCATTAATTCCGGCGCATTTTCGGGTGAAATGTTGAAAGGATTGCTGAAAATGTCCAATAGCGGTTTAACTTTTTTGAAGTCTACAAAACGATTTTCAAAAGCTTGTATCAAAATATCAATTTTTTCAACATGAGCGAAATTGACGTCAGTTTTATTGAACTTCTCCATAATTTTTTTGTAGTTCGGAAAATGGCCGTAATTGGCTGAATTGATTTGTGTCCTGAAAAGACTCAATTTGCATTGAAAGGACGAAACATGAGAGTATAGCTGCGAAATCAATTGATCTTTGCCTTGGAGTCGCGTATTTAAGACATTCAAGTGATTTGTGATGTCTACAAGAAACGCTAAGTCACACAGCCAATCAGGGTTGTCGAGTTCGGGGACGTCGTTTTTCTTTTCCGCCAGAAATAGTTGGATTTCTTCAATCAAGTTAAGAAATCGCTGTAGTGTCAACCCACGACTTAGCCACCTTACTTCAGTGTAAAACAGGAGATCACCATATTCGCTTTCAATATCCTCGAGAAATTGTTTGAATTGTCGGTGATTGAGACCTCGTGATTTTATAAAGTTTACGGTAGGTACTACAACTTTCATAACATTTTCAAATCCCAATAATTTTGAACAGAGGGCCTCTTGATGTATAATACAATGAAACTGCATTAATTCCTTGGTATTTATGTTTTTAGTTTGTAAATATGTTTTTAACAGAGTTACTATCCCAGATGTACTTCCAACCATTGAAGGTGCTCCGTCAGTTGTAATTCCAGATATTTTCGTTAAATCCAAATCCATTATAGAACATTTTTCTAGAAGAGCTTTGAGCATGTCACTTCCCCTGGTTTGACTTGTCAAAGAACTCATACCAATCAGTTCTTCACTCACTTCAAAATTTTGCGTTACACCTCGTAAAAATATTAATAGTTGAGCAGTTGAACTTATATCTGTAGATTCGTCGAGCGCTATAGAAAAATACTCAAAACTTCTCGATTTCGTAGCTAATTGCTCTTCTATATTATCTGCTAATGCGGTAATTCTTCTTTGAACAGTCATCCGATTTAACTGAATTTTTTCAAACTTCTTTACATTTTCCGGACAAATTTTTTTTGCGGCGATATCCAAACATTGCTTAACAAACTCACCATCTTTAAAAGGCCGACAAGTTTTCGCTATTATTCGAGATATTTCAAAGCTAACTTCAGTGGCTGTTTCAGCATCTTGAATTGGTTTTGTAAACATAGATTGCTGGCCTATTAGTTCCCGTTGTAAAGTGGAAATTCTTTGCGTTCGATTTTCGCCAGTTAATTTGGTAAAAGTTGGATGCTGGGTTTCATAGTGCCTTTTCACATTATATTCCTTCGGAATAGAAACACTACTCTTGCATATTAAACAGACAATTTTGTTATGCGATGAAATAAAAAAGTATTTTTCGGTCCAAATATCATGAAACTGTCGATTTTCATCTTCAACCTTACGACTACGTTTCTTACTGGGGCCTGGTTTATCCATATCAAAATTAATATTATATGTTACAGTCGGTAAAAGCCAAGTTCGAACGACGAAATATTTACTCGTCACAGATTACAGTTCTCAAACAGTATAACGTTCGCTTATCCGTAGTCAAAACTTAACTGCCCCGGTAGCCGGCGATGCGTCGTATTTATACGAGTTACCAAACATCGAGAACCATCCACTTTGTTCGGGGATCGACGTGTTTCGCGAATCTGTAATCTAGTTGATGCGACAGATTTCTAGTCTCGTAATAATATGCTTGGACCGGAGCGCGGCGAGTAGAATACTTTTAAAATTCGTTGGCGGGCCGCATAAACATCGACAGCGGGCCGCATGCGGCCCGCGGGCCGCGGTATGTGCATCCCTGATCTACACATATCTTGCAATTTGGTTACAAAGAGATGAATTTTATGAAGTCGCGATAGTGAGCACCATTAACTGTTATTATCTAACCGGCCGCATTTTCCAAGAAGAATGGTCCAACGATGCCTCCAGCTCAAAATCTGCTCCAAACAGTGACACGTTGTTGTTCTATAATCATTTTAACAAACTCTCTTCGCTCTGCGTGGTCAGTAGGCTTCAGTTCTTGAGTCAATTGAACTTTGTAAGCACGAAATTGCAAATCTTTCGTGAGAATATGCTGAGAGCTGAGAGAGAGCTTCCCGAAGTGTTCAATTCTTGACCACGGTGCCGAATTGATGTTCCTGGACTCTCACAAACTGCTTCCATGTTTTGTATCGAACAACTTGTTGAAAGATGGCCAGATTGCTTAAGATCCCTGAATTTTTCAATTAATCACTTCACAGTAGTTGATGAAGTTAAATCACGGCAATGATCATATTTTGTATGAAAATTGCGAACTTTAGCTGTCAAACCCTCATTATTTTGAAAATATTGCTCAACAATGGAAACGCGTTATTCTTTCCTGTAGCGCTCGCTCCATTTTTAATAACTCTGAACTGTCAGCTGTCACGTTGTATTTTTTTTCTTTGGCAACACTTTATCACACAAATGGCGCAAAATTCAAATTTTGCATGAATTTTTCGACATTCGATAATCCTACAAATATTCATGAAAAACTTTAGATGTTAAATTTATTCGTAAAATTTCACACCAATCTTTCCTCTCAAGCCTACTAAGTTACACTTATAATACATTACAACATTGGATTTTAATTCTGCTCTAATTCACCCTCGCACATTTTGTAGTTAGACTGTCATACAGGAAACGATATCTTTTACAGCTTACCTGCGCTCGTAAATCGGAAATATTGTCGCTTAGATTCCTTCCGCCGGCCTTTTTTATGACCTCCGTAAACGCCTCTTCCTGAAACTTTCCTTCCACTACCAACAGGAAAGACTTAAAAGCCGCGCCTTCTTGATTTAGACTCGTAGAATGCGGAGGCATCGAACCCGGTGTTATGCCGCCAATGTCGGCATGATGACCCCTACTTGCTACGAAGAAGACGGGTTCGCTGCTTCCCCTGGAAACATTAAGTTAAATAGACGAAAAGAAAGGTTCATTATCAGCGTGGATGTAATTACTTTCTTAATTAAAAAAAAAGTAATTATAATAAAATACAAAGCTGCGACATTTTTATTAACGCTGAAAGTAGGTATACTGAGTGATTCAGTAATAAAGTCATTAATATTAACCACGTATTCGGAAGGTTAATAAAGAAAAAAAATAGAAAAAATTATTTTATTCGATCTTTTGACGGATAAGCAAATTACCCCTTAACTCCAGCTAATTCGGCGCCCTATTTTACATAACATTGTCTGACCGGGAACGTGCCGGCGGGCCACACAGCTTCAAACGTTGAAGCGAAACAGCTGATTTCCTCAGTCGTCTTGAATTTTGCAATTGGTTTCAAAATCCAAGTGCAGCGAATCCCAACTTTATTAACAAAGTGCTATGGATGGATGTGTGTGAGTACTTGTTAATATTTAAAATGTAAAAAGATATCATATTCATCCACGTGTCTAGGTAAAAATATGTTAAAGCCTTGTACATTACGCATTAAAAACGTGGTAAAAACTAGGTTACTGACATGACTAGGTTACTACTGAATAATACGGTAGATCAAAATTCACTCTCGATAAACCTTTGTGGGTCAGCTGTCAACATCAGTCCGAATGGGGTTTAAGAAAATATTTTTTTCAGAGTAAATATGCATTTAAAAATTTTTTTCATCGCGTATTCGTATTTCGTATTCCACTCATTTTTTCCTACCTTCCCTTAAAATTAATAGCATTATTACTGAATCACCATATATAAAAGATATATGTTGCTTTTGTAGGAATAAAAAAAACACTTCTTAAATGGTGTTTAATGGTGGTAATGGCGATAACAAATAGCTAAGATCATTCGACGGCAGAATCGACAAAAATAGACCAGTTTCGAACTTATTAGTTCTCATCAGTCATGTGAGACGACCGACGAACGATTTATTTGGATGTCTATATAGACTATATCTGACTCATACTCAAAACTTCATATATCTCCGAAAATAAGCCTCTAATCGACATAGGCATACTTATCGATTTTCTTCCTGAGGAAATTTGCTACGAAGATAGGCTTTTGCGAAAGCTCGCAAAAATTTTTTTACATTGCAAAATTAGCAGTGAAAAAAAATGTGCAAAATTTTCAGAATTAAATAAAAAGAACAAATTTGACTGAAATTAGATGAAACTACAGGAAAAGATAATTGTTAGGGTGCTCAACAAATACTCGCAATTAATACATTTGACCCCGTTTTAAACGACCCTGCCCCAACTAGGCTGTCAGCAACTTTTATTTTCATACTCCCACGAAGGTCTAGAATATATTTTATGAGTTGCTGACATTAATCTGATCACGGGGCGATTTTCGTATTTACCCCCACACCCCCAACCCCTGCCCCACAAGGGGCAAACTCTGAAACCCTATTATGCAACATACGGCCAACACATTAAAAACAAATTTGGCCATTAGTCTGATCACGGGGGATTTTGACACCAATCTCTTAGACAATTAGGGAGTCGCGATGGGAATGGGACGCAAAGCGCGAGTTTCCAATCAGGGCCCAGTGAGTTAGGTGCATTGTTGGAGGATTACGCAGTAACCCAATTGCTTGGAGTTGAGGCTACCCCGATGAGAGTCGATGAGATAAAGAGCAATATACGTATACAGGTCTGGTCATATTTTTATTTTCGATACAAAGTTAGTAAATTCTATAAATATCTCACGAGTCTACCCTAATAATTCTGACCCCCCCCCATATCATTTGTATAACTACGTACATACGGAATAATTACGTTTTTGATTTATTGCGATGACATAAAGAGTATAAGTCACGGCCTGGAATTGACAGCAGTGTTGCCATACGTACAGTATGACATAAAAGGTTTTGAGACCATACTAAAGCATTCTTTATTACAAATTATTTATAACCTTTAGTAAAAACTAAAACGGTATTCTAAAATAGCCTAAAATATTTCTAATTTTAAACCGTAATTCGTACTTTGCGGCTCTTTCGTGTCGATGTTTGTAGAGAAGTTGCGTTAAATGACCCCATAAGAAGATTTTGGAGGGTGTCAGATCTGGAGATCGGGGAGGCCAAGGTATGATACCTCTTGTGGAAATAAACTTTTCAGGAAAAGTAGATTCACAAAAGTCCTTACGCCTTATTTGATCACCAGGAATAATTTCTTAAGAAGTTTGCATTTTATAGGCTTTGTGACCGTTCTTTTTAAAATGCGACGAACTGTACGACTTGGAATGTCAAGGTCTTCGAAAATTTGGGAGGAAGAACACGGCTCAACTTACTTCCACAAAAGTACAAACATTAACCTCTTTTTCTCTCCTTGCTTCAGGAATTTGACGAGGTTCCTGACTTATTGCTACTTTTCGTACACCGATTAACACATCCACACTCCTCAAACTTATGAAAAATATTCAAAACAATTCTAGAAGTGGGGACTGGTTCGTCGGGGTATGAAAACATAAATCGACCAACGACTTCCTCTGCACTTTCTACACGACAATACCATTTAATAATATTAATTTTTTTGTTCGACACTGTACATCATTTTTATTTTGTAATATTCCGTCTACTTCTTACCAAAGGTCTGAGTGGAATAATAATAAAAATAAACAAACAGCAAAGTTCTTTAGGTATTCGATAGGTTCACAAAAAATGCAACGGGGCACGTGCGCTCCCAAAACCAACCAATTACGAGAGTCCGAGTCTCAGCCTCGATGATATATGTTATGTCCGACCCCTTCCACCCGAAGTTGATAAGGGAGATGCGTGTAATTTACTTAGTCTATGCGAAATAACCTGGCCAGACCGGTATAATGAAAGAAAATAATGATATTAAAACACAGAATACTAAAGGATCATACATTGCTGCAGATGCTTCCTTTTATAAATATGAAAGATTTCACAAACATGTATTCTTATTATCAATCAAATATTAATATATTTCTTTATTACCAGACGTACAGGGTGATTCAGAACTTATACAAAAAAAAATCTGGATGTACAGGGCACCCTTATAAATACAATTTTGTAAAGAAAAAATCAAAAAGGGCAGTTCGAAAATGATTTAAAAATACACTTCTGCACGGCACTGGAAACTGGTCCACTGTAAAACCTGACCGCGCACAATGCGACCGGCATGGCTGTGTGATAAAAACGAACAAAAACTTTCGCAAGGGAAGAAATATGTAAATAGAATTTTATCGCACCTATTTTATATCGGCAAATTCAACTGCTTTTGCCTTTATTAATTAATAAAATTAATTTGTGTTTTTAAATAATAAAATCATTTGACATACCCGATGTTACAACAATTGTTCAAAATTTTATCCACCAATGTGTAAACACATTTGGGTC